ACGTGACACCACAGGTCCAGCTGGAAGATCAGAGCTTGTGGTGAAGGAAATGTGCTTCGGGGTTTCTCCAGTCCCCAAACAAAAAACAGCAGTTTAAAAGATGAACGTCCTTTCACTGGCAATAAACATCCAGCAACCGCTGCTTGATCTCCCTGAACAATGCAAGTGATTAACAACAGCCTCAATACACAAGAACAGTCCCCGTCCTGGTGGGGGAAACAACCTGAGGCAAATGAGAGCAGAGGTCTTCATACAGCGCTGCTCTGAGGGTTTCATTTCACTTCTTTCGACAACCCTTGTCATTTGAGCAGGTCAACGCGGGGCCGCGACCCGGCTCTCCACGTGGGTTTTACTTCGGTTTTGATGCTGCCCGTCTTTGGTATGGAAGGATTACACGAGTTGTCCTTCAGTCCAACAGCGTCAGCGGTTACGTGCTATGTTGTGGCTGTGTACTGTACAGCAGTCCCTGAGGACAACACAAGGGCTTTTGTTTTTCGCGGGGGCGGTTGGCGCCTTCTGGCTCTCTCTTGGCCCCATACTTTGCTGCTCTTGGACACGAAGATGTTAAAATGATCGTGGAGAGCACGAGCCGCTGCACTAACTTTTAATAAAGAAAATATACCATGTTAAAAACTATTTCATTTCATGTTCAAGCGCTTGAGTTTAAATGGCGACAACAAGCCCGGGCCGCATTTTGAATTGGAGTTGTTTTGTTTATTTGTTTTGTGGGTCTGACTGCTCGAGGCAGATCCAGTTTCTCGCAAAGTAATTGTAGTCTACACTCAATGACAACGCCTCGAACCAAAGCAAATAGCTGTTCAGCCTCGCTGGACCACAATGAGGAAAGTTAAGTTTCCGGGATGACTGTGCAAAACTACATCGTCTGCTTTGTTAAACTTAGTGTTTCCATTAAGTCACATGTATTACAAGAGAACTGCCTCATATGAACGATCAAATGTAAGTTTACGTTCATGTACAGGGGCCGTGTGTAAAACGCTAAATATTCCCATGAACGTTCTGCTGTCAGCTCCGTTCACCTCTACCGTATTTGTAAGGGTCTGCGAATCCACTGGTTAAAGCCCACAGAGAGAACCGCTGAGTCAGATTTGCAGGAGACCGACAGCAATGGGGCCTGTGTAGACAACGAATCCTGCATCCATGCGTGCCCTGGCCGAGCTCTTTTCACTGGACACACTGAAAGTAACCCCTCCACAATCCCCTTTAGCTCCTAACTATGTCTGAGCACTGGCAGGCGGGCCTCCATCAGCGGCCACAGCGCTACAGCGGTGTCATGGTTGCAAATAATGACAAAACAACTCGCCCTGAGATTAAAAAGGAAGTCATCTGTGATTTGTTTTGGGGATTTTCCAAATGTCTTTGACAGTGAAGCGAAGGACTAAACAGTTTAGTCCCACTGCTGGCTATATACACAGCCCATTACTCCTTTTCCTGTGTAATATACACACCCACTTCACTTTTTGGTGCGTTTGGAACGATACAACTATTTCCATCCATACTTCAAATACCATTTGGTGTCCCTCACCAGGCATACCTATGCTGTGACTGAAGTTCAAAACCTTCTGATGTCATTCATAGCAAGCATTCCTCTCAGTGCCTGGAACAGGTAGGGGTTTTTATAGAGTACACATCTTACAAAGCTCTAAAACAGAGGTCTGACTATAAAATGAGTGAGAGCCGATCGTTTTTAGACTTACTCACCACACCAGAGCAGTGATTTCAAAAACAGAGGACAACACTTAAGCGAGTGCTGGTTACACATCAGTATTACTCATTAAAAACAATAATTACAGTGAGTGAGCGTCACTGTCATTTCTCACTAGTTGAGTTAGGTAACAAAACTGGTTTAGATTGGAGACCCTGAGGCAAAAAGGTCTGTGGACTAAAGTGTTAGACATTTAAAAAAAAAGTTTATTGGGGACTGAATAAAACATTTCTTGACCTACAGTGTAGTGCTGAAGTCAGCTAATGCTTGTCACTCAAAAAAAGTATCCAAACGTTGTAATGAGCAGCACGTTAACAGCTATATCAAAGGACGGATTACAGCGAACATAACACCAAAGTGAACCCGCTTTACGTTGCGTACATCAGTGAGTGAGAGTAAAGAAACTGCAGTCCCATTGTTAAACGCTTCAGTGGAGGTATGCTGACACACAGGAGTAGTATCAACGAAACTAACTTAGCTAGAGATAACCGAGGAGCGACTCAAGAGTTGAGACAGAAAAGCTTTTTAAAGAGCAGTAATGTCGTTAACGGGCTTTTGTTTCTGTCACACAAAAAAAAAGTGAATTAACGTTAAAGTGCTCCAGACTTACCTTTCATCCAGTCGACAACTTGCTTTGGCGTCCACTTCGTTATCGGCTCCATGGCTTCTTTAATACCAGAGG